CATTGTGAAAATACTACAATTAGGTCTACGCTGGGGCATTAAGTAAAGTACGCTTTACTCCTCAAATACAACTCCTATTTTAAAATTAAAGCCAACCCATATTCTCAGTAACAAAACACTAGTAATCAGCAAATCTGAAAATCTTACAGGAAGAAATATGTTTAGCACATTTAGAAACAGAAGTTCAAATTAGTAAATTACGTTATTTATCACAATGCTGCCAGAGTGTCAAAGCAACCGTTTCCGCTAATTCCATGTTTCATAAGAAAGTTAGCTGTGATTTCGCATTAGATTGTGATTACGAAAAATAATTTAATTGTAAAGAACTATTTCAGACCAATGCATATTTTAAAAACTTGGCTATGAAAAACAGTATCTTACTTCATAAAATTAATACAAGGAAGTTAGTATTAAATAAATAGTGTAATAAAACAAATAATGTAATATACACAGCAGTTTAAATACCACGTTTAGTGGCAAAAACTCTTAAGTAAGATCTCCTCCTACTTTAGACTCTCCAGTCAATAAATATAACTGAACTGAAAGTCAGTAACTTCACACTATTCTGAAGGTGGTTTTGGTTGGGTTTTTTGTTTGGTAGTTTTTTTTGAAGTAGCATTATGAAGAAAAGTTGAGTATTAGCAAAAGATGCCCACCTGGCACAAAATTCAATGAGACTACTCATATGTCAAGACAGGCGTTTACCAGGAAAGCTTCAGAGTGCTCGCATACACCAAGGGAAAGGACACAAAACTAAGGAGCCCGATGTGGATTTTATTCCATTCTCTGCTAATGCTAACCTGCTAAGTGACTACAGGCAAGGCTACGCTCCTTCACTGCTTTGTACCTCAGATGCCTAAAACAGGGATAAAAATCATTGTTCCTTGTTTTGAGGTGTGTGATTACAGTATGGCTTATGTACTTCGCCAGACAGGACATAAGCACACGAATAAGGCAATGCCTACAATTGCCAATTATTAATAATATCATTATTATTGAGAGAGTAACGTGTGATTTTTTTTTTCCCCTTTTCTAAGCAATGCAATCTAATAGCAGCCCATCAAGCCATTCTTAAAAAGTTATGAGTAATCCTTACACTGGTTCAAGTCTTAACCCTTCTGAAACTGTCAAGAAGGGTGACAGCTGTAGGAGTCTTCTGTGAAATTCACAGGTCCACTAGTACCAGGCTCACCACATTGCTCTCAGACAGAAACACTGTATCATTATTGATCTTAAAAAAATAAAAATAAAACAATAAAAAGGAAGTAAGTCCTAATAATCTTTTGACATGAAACAGAATGAAAAAGCTTCTGACAGTGACACCCCAGGAAAGAGGTGGAAACATGGTAGAAGGAAAAGAGATAGTTTATACTACAGAAGTCAGAAAGTGACTTTTTCCTAGTTCTTCTCAAGAATATTTTGAAATACATACAACTATTATTTCAATCCAGCTGTATAGATGCCTAAGTAATAAAGAAAACATAAATTATTAAGGTTACAGTAAAGTAAAACAGTAGCCACGCTGCTTTAAGACCAACTTAACTCGCTTAGGAAAACTGTCCCAATATACGGGCACCATATGATTTAATGATACAGGGAAGTATCCTTCGTCTCCATTTGCAGGTGGCAAAGGGACATATGGCTGTGCTTCCAAGAGTAAACTCTGACCCTGGAAGCCGCCAGCGGGCCACAGCAGTGCCGCTGACTCGACCGGCAGCTGCAGCGGGCCACCCCCGTGGCAGGGCACAGGAACATCGACCCGAGTCCAAAATTTGGAAAGTGGCCTCTGGTTTTGACTACATCACCTGCCAGAGCTCACAGAGACAGCCCGTGGCACACTCAGAAATTAAAATCAAAGTTTCATTTCAGTTCCAGCTGTAATTTATAGTACCTTCCTCCACCAAGGTGCCACCTTCAAGCAAACAGAGGCCTGAACACTGCAAGTGCCACGAAGCGTCGAAAGAGAGGCAGTGTTTCATCTCCCAGGTGCCCAGATTTCACTGCAGATGCGTTCACAGCTTTCACACGACAGCAGCGCCTTGCACACCACAGGTCTCGTCTACCTCACCCGCACCTTCCCGACCGCTACATGCGGTGGAAGAATAACTCTCCCCACCTGACTTGGTCAAAATTTCCTTTCTTCACACCACTCTGGTACCAGCTCTACGCTAGACGACCGCCCTGCCTAACGCCACATTGACTGAGCCTCAGAGACGTTGCGCATCCTCAACCCACAGACCACGAGCAGCAGCAACCTGGAATAACTTTAAGCTCTGAACACAAGCAATCTTATCAGTGAATTTAACAAGACTTGTCATCTGCTTAAAGATATTCACGTGCTTACAGGATTGCAAGCTATGGAACCACTAATTTAGGAACAAAGTGTATTAAGATCATTCTGGATGAAAAGGAAAAATGTTAGCTATAAAATAACTGTGCAATTACCTCTGATATTTTATGTGGAAAACTGACATTTAATATCTTTAATTATTCACATAACAGCTACGAAAGAGAAAGGTTTTCTTCCTTGAATGGGAAAATAAACATGGACAAATTCCTCTCACCATCACTCCTACACTCCTTTCCTAAACAAACCTCCCGATGAAACCAATGGAAGTTTTGCAGGCGACAGGTTGATGGCAAGCAGCCCCCAAAAAACTCAAAGGCATCGAGGGCAAGCTTCTTAAATATTTTGAGTTTACCTCAACACAGAAACCAGTTACATTTCTGCTAAATTACGTGTCTACTTCAAATGGTTTATCAGCTTGCTGTGCCGAGAGGGACAGTAGTATGCAACGAACTTTCGAGATCATGGGCGAATTTCTGAAGCACTCGCAAGGCGCCTTGCTAAGCGGCTCACCCCCTTTTAGCTTGTGACACACCAGCACTGGACCCAGCACTTGTTAAGCAGGACCAGGACCCAGGTGTCTCTCCTGTACATCAAGACTGAATTACTAAACTCCATTCATGAACGCTTACTTTACCGAGAACTGTATAATAAAAGAAATCTTCCCTTTTACCAAAATAAAAGCTCCCGAAAGTAAATGGAAGTTTCTAGTCATGGACAAATCTAATGAAATCTTCATTCTGCCCTTAACTAGGCACATTATTTTTATTACCTTTTTTTTAAGCTATGAGGAAATGTATTTCTCTGCTTCCTCTAAAGCTTCTATTATGCCTTTTTCATCAAAAAGATAACCTACCCTTCTTTTCTTTGTAATTTGCTCATGCCAGTTCAACATCAGGTGAGACCTACATTTAGCACTATGCACAAAATCAAGGTCCACTCCTCTTAAAAGTTGTGGGCAGATTATGATCACCACTTCATTTCTCGGATCAAAATTCCATGCATCCAAAAGACTTCATCACATAAAAACTAAAACCAGATAATGACTGAAGATACTACCTGAAGCAAGGTCCCTGAGCTATTCTTGTTCAGCACCCTTTAGTATTATTCCAAATGAAGAAAAAAAGTCCTCAGCGCTTACAGCACTTTAATCTGACTCTTACCTGAAAATACAGAAAATTTAAGTTCAGAAATCAGTGCATTTGTACTCAGCTCTGAACAACAGTCTGAAGCCTATCTGCCAGTTTTTGAATTTCCCAACGCGTTTTTACTTTGTAAGAACTGTTGCACCAATTACTCTACACAGAACATGATCCTTGTCAGTAATGCTATGAAACTGAAAGCAATATTCTCCTATGCAACTAGTCTGTCATAAAGAATTTCAGTAATCAAATTTGGTGTTTATGTTCTCAGACCTACACGTACCAACCTCAGTGCCCACAAAATCCGAAAAACTGAAATTTGGGTGTAATTCTACAGGAACTGGAGAACAGGCAGAATCCTCCCTTCAAATCATCTCCCCACAGTGGCTATCCCAGCCTTAAGACTAGTTTTGTGGTCATAATATCACACCAGAACAGCTGTTCCCAACAGCCCCCTTCAAGCCAGCGTGTTTGGGACCATCACTTATCCTATGTCTGCTATACACTGCCTGGAAAAGGTCAAGAGTATGTTATTAATCATTCGCATTTATGAGTACTAAGCTTACCCCAAATACATGTCTTGTCTTGTTTTTAATTATGTACACAACAGTACCATAAACAAAAGATTACCTCCCACTTCCCCATTTTGGGCCAAATGCAGTTCAGTGCCACCATGGGCGATTGCATGGGAAGCACTCCGAGTGCCAATCATTTTATGTCATCTATGAATGTGACCCCACAAATTTAGAACCTCTTCTTTAAACTACCACTTCTACTTCAGCATAAAGGATGTCAAACCTTTCAAAAGGTGTCAAAACTTTTCCAAGCATACAGATAAAAAAAAAAAAAAGGTTGTATACTTGAAAGCTTAGGAATACTAGTAAATTAGTCACTAAGATTAATCTTTCAAATTGATAGGTACCTGCATTTATCAATGCCAAAAGAAAAAACAGTAACACAGAAAGAGCATGGATGGAATTCTAATTAGCTCTCAGTTTGTGTGTTAAAACTGAACCAACTCCTGTTGCAGTAGTATTACAGTTCTGCTAAATTTCTCACTGATTCTTGACCTCCAGAGATTTCTAATTACCTGTTCTGTTTATATTTTCACATTTTTCCTACCACTGAATTTTAAAAGGACTTTACATTCTCATTAAGTTTTCGACCTGTGTGCTGCACTTTGCATATTCTAACGTTACTTTGGTTTAAAACTTTTGCCCTCGGTCAATCAGCTGATTATCTTTACAAAACAAGCTTTAAGAAAAAACAAGAAAACCAAAGCGAAGAGAGATCTGAATACGCGCAGCCTTTTAATTCTCAGGTTATTCAGACCCACCCCTACATACAAACTTTGCGATCTAGCAGTTGCTATGAGCACCCGGAGAAGACATGTTTTCTGAGGCGCTAAAACCTGAACGAGCATCTTCCACGTAAAAAGTGGCAGCACGAGGACCTCTATCTTATCAACAACAACCGAGTTCTTTTTCCATGTGTACAGTTTACATACTTACCCAGGAAGGCAAATGGAAATTACAGACAGAGGAAGATGAAGCTGTCTCAAAGCCTTTGTCATGTGATAGTGACCTATAAAGTATCAAATAAAGGCACATCATCAGCACACCATGATTTTACAATATTGCAACTCACCACAACACCAACAAGAGGAGAGATCCCAAAACTTGAAACTTGCTTCCTCCTCACCCCCACCCCAGCTAAGTTGTCATTAAAACAAGATGACAGTCACAGGAAACCGTAAGGAGCAAACAAAAGGTGCACCGTGTCTTTAAAGGGCATTAGGACTGGGCAAGTGGAGCAAACCGGTCTGAGTGTGCATCGGCAGGGTGGGTTATTTTTCCTCTGTCTCTCTCGTACACACGGATGCATGTTTACGCGCGCACACAGACATACACACGCACACGCAGGGATGCATCACGTAATTATTTACATGCACACACGGAGGAACACGCACGCATTACCAAAATAAAAGGCAGAAAGTTGACCACCATCTGCAAGGAGGCATACATAACAATAACCCCCGGGAACTTACACAAGTGAGCGATCAATCCCCGCGCGTGGATAAGCCAAACAACGCAAAATTAACAACAAGAATACGCCGCCAGACTGCAGGTACGAGATCCACCCGGGGAGACAGACAGACAGAGGGACGGACGGCAGGCTGCACGGCTGTAACAGAGTCGCAGGTAATGCCCGTTCCCCCCCGGCAGAGCCCAGCCCGGCGGAGCCCGGCCCGGCCGCCCCGCTCCCACGGCC